AGACAAAAAATGACTATTTAAGGTTGCGTTCGACCATTACGAACAAGAACGTGCTCGCAAATTTTTGCGCGCTGAAAGGTGTGCGCACGCAAAATTATCGAAATGCTTGAAATGGCCTAAAACGTACTCTAATTTGATCAAAAAGTGATTATGAGCATTTTTTGTTTTTGCGCGCACCGACGCGCGGACGGACGCGTACGCGCGCGTTTATTGACCTAAGTTGACCGGACGGATATTGACCTCAATCGTTATAAATATGAATGAGAAATGATTTACGGTTATGAAGATATGATCATGAGTTGATTCTCAGAGCACTTCACAAAATGGCGCCTAGATGACGTCATGATATTTTGATGAACTTGAAAATGTTCCTGTCACGTCTTAAGATGATGACCTATAACTGTGTTGAATTTGAAAGAAATTGGACGGTTCAATTTTGAGTAATCGTGCACACAAAAAAGTGGTCACAAATTTATTTTAATTGAATTGTGTTTTTGTACAAATTCAATTAAAATACTAGAATTTAATTCGTCACGAAGACGAATAAGGTGGTCTGTCTAAGTTTTATGATAGATTTGAGAATGGGAGAAGTTATATAGACATGTAAACAATGATGATCATGATGAACATGGTGATGATCATGATAGTAAAGGTGATGATGATGATAATGATAATGTTGTATGACGATACAAACGACAAAGTTAATGATGATGATGAGCAAAAGCATAATCCTGACAACTGATTAAAAAAATTGAGGAAATATTTAGATAGCAAATAGTCTCAGCTACAACATACTAAAATTTGGGAGAAAACTATTGAATAACAATCGAGATCCTGGTTAAAACACCTTGTCATGCAGATTCATGTTTTGAAAAAAGTGACCTCCCATAGACATAACACGTAAATATGACAAATTATGCATTGTCACCTTTAATCGAATATTTAACTATGATGACGTCATCTAAATGAAAAATAAATGGCATATTTCTGATAGAGAATTATCTCAGCTACAACATAACAAAATCTGGGAGAAGATCGATCACTGATAAGTGAGATAATCTCAAATAAACAAAGACAAGAATGACGTCATCAACAAAATACATTTGTTTGAGTTTAGATGCCAATATGATGACTTTATTTCACTTTGTACGAGTCAGGGTGGTATGAAATCATATCTCCAACTCATGCTTTCTCCAACCATGATATAAAAATTGGGGGTCAATGGACTATCTGAAGAGCTATTTCGATTTTTAAAATGGCATGTTTTTGATCAAATTTGCACTATATTGCCCATAGCAGTACGCGCGGATTTTGAGCTTTGACGCACGCTCACGGCCTTATGAAATATGAAGAGTGACTGAAATTAATGTAAATTGTCAATTACGTTAAGAGGAATCAAAATCATGTAAACATTTTGAATTTGACCTTTTCCGCGCGCTGTGAGCGCGCACACCGCGCGCGGGGACACTTACGGTCGGAAAATTTTGAAATGCTTAAAATGACCTGATTCGTACTCTCGTTTAATAGTTTAGTAATTTTGAGCAATTTTAAATTTTGACGCGCACATACGCGCGCGTCATGACGTTTATGTGACCTTTGATGACATGACCTGTTGACCCTTGACCTAAAGTATATGTGATATGAATATGAATGACCTTTGCTGATGCATCATGAAGATATGATGGATAACGTGATTTCACAAAATGGCGCCTGGATGACGTCACGATAACCTAATGACCTTAAAAATGTTTCTGTCACGTCTCATGATAATGACCTATGACTGTGCCAAAATTGAATCAAATTGACATAACCAATCTTACGTTATCCGACACACAAAAAAGTGAAGAAATAAATAAAAATAAATAAATAATAATAATAATAATAATAAAGAAGAAAGAAAATTCTGACGAAATCAATAGGTGGTCTGTTTATAACAGACCACCTAACTAGAAATTTAATTCGTCATGGGGACGAATTAGGTGGTCTGTCTTTAATTCTTATGATCATGCTCATCTTCAATTCAATTACCCCATGAAATGATGTTTATGTAAAATGATGTATTAAGATATGAATTGATGAATGAAGTACTGATAAACTGATGAACTGATAAATTGAACTAATGTAAAATGAACTGAATTGATAAGCTAAACGGATGAACTGATGAACTGAACTAAACTGATGAGCTCAACTGATGAACGAAATATTGAGCAATTATCATGATGATGCATAATTAAGTAATATTGACTGCCTTCTGGGCAATACGACGTATATCGCCCGAACCGAAGGTGAGGATGATATATGGCAAGTCGTATTGCCCTGAATTAGGCAGTAAATATTACTAATATTAACCACATCAGACATATAGAACAAACAAGAAACTCTTACTATCTGATAAATTATAAATTATAAATTACTATCTTATAACTTATGTAGCCTACACTCCACAGGATTTCCTAGCATTAGAAGTTGCAAAAACATCGTCAAACAAGCACTGTGCATCCAGTGCTTGACGAATGTTCGATACACTGCATACAGTGTGCCAAGGGTCTGATTGTTACGTCACAATAGAGTTCGTGCATGGTGCGCATTACATTGTCATTGTCAGCAGCAGCTGGTGCGCGATGTTATTTACAACTGGCTCGATTATTTCTCACGAGTTTGACATGCAAAAAATTGTGGGGTCAACTTGCATCCTAAAGAGCTATGTATTTCGTATAGGCATGTTTTTGACCATATATGCTATGTATTACAAGAGCTCGCACGCACAGACATTTACCTTGAAAGGACGCTCATTTCGTTATTAATGGTCATAAAGAGATAAACATGGTATCAAATTGTTCGGAAAAAAATGGGCAATACTATGATAGACAAAAAATGGCGATTCTAGGTTGCGTTCGACCATTACGAACAAAAACGCGCGCGCAAATTTATGCGCGCGGAAAGGTGTGCGCACGCAAAATTTTCAAAATGCTTGAAATGGCCTAACACGAACTCTAATTTGATCAAAAAGTGATTTTGAGCATTTTTTATTTTTGCGCGCACAGACGCGCGGACGGACGCGTACGCGCGCGTTAATTGACCTTAAGTTGACCGGTCGGATATTGACCATAATCCTGTTAAATATGAATGAGAAAAGATTTTCGGTTATGAAGATATGGTCATTAATTGATTCTCAGAGCACTTCACAAAATGGCGCCTGGATGACGTCACGATATGTTGATGAACTTGAAAATGTTCCTGTCACGTCTTAAGATGATGACCTATGACTGTAGTTAATTTGAAAGAAATTGGACGGTTCAATTTTGAGTAATCGTGCACACAAAAGAGTGGTCACAAATTTATTTTAATTGAATTGTGTTTTTGTACAAATTCAATTAAAATACTAGAAATTTAATTCGTCATGGTGACGAATTAGGTGGTCTGTTTTCAATTTTATGATCATTGAAAAGTCAAAAAAAAAAAAAAAAAAAAAAATTGTTGGAGACGCCCGGACTCGAACCAGGGACCTCGAAGTCGGAAGTCAAGCGCGTTACCGATATACCAAAACATTTCCCATAGAGAATACACGTAAACGGAAAATGAAATTCTCAAATCCCACTTTGCAAGTGAAATATGAGCATGATCCCGTCATCTAATCGAGAAATAAATGGTACACTTGTGATAGCTTATTGTCTCAGCTACAACATACTCAAAGCTCAGCGTAAACAAAGATAAAACGACAGAGATATTGCTCGCGACAGACGAGAATGTAGAATCCAGTTTTGAGAAAAAGTCATGTCCCATAGAGAATACACGCAAAATGTGAAAAATTGACATGCCTCCTTTAATCGCGAAAATACGCCATGATGCCCTTGTCAAAATGAAATATCGTGGTGACTGCATTTGTAGACAATATTCTCAGGTAGAACATATCAAAATTTGGAAGAAAATTAATCAATATTTACAAAGATACAATCAATTTTCCAAAAATATGATGACGTCATAATATGCAAATTGAAATTTTGAGTTCGGAGGCCATTATGATGACGTCATGAGTCAATTGAGGGTCAAATGAGACATGAAATCATATCTCCAACTCATGTTTTTTCTAACCATGATATAAAAGTTGGGGTCAATGGACTATCTGAAGAGCTATTATGATTTTTAAAATGGCATGTTTTTGATCGAATTTGCATTATATTGCCCATAGCAGCACGCGCGGATTTTGAACTTTGACGCGCGCTCACGGCCTTATGAAAGGTCAAGGGTGACTGAAAAAAAATGTAAATTGTCATTTACGGTAAGAGGAATCTAAATCATGTAAAAATTTTGAATTTGACCTTTTCCGCGCGCTATGAGCGCGCGCAACGCGCGCGGGGACACTTACGGACGGAAAATTTTGAAATGCTTAAAATGACCTGATTCGTACTCTCCTTTAATAGTTAAGTGATTTTGAGCATTTGTAAATTTTGACGCACGCGTACGTGCGCGTCGTGACCTTTATGTGACCTTTGATGACATGACCTGTTGACCCTTGACCTGAAGTATATGTGATATGAATATGAATGACCTTTGCTTATGCATCACGAAGATATGATGGATAACGTGATTTCACAAAATGGCGCCTGGATGACGTCACGATGACCTGATGACCTTGAAAATGTTCCTGTCACGTATCATGACAATGACCTATGACTGTGTCAAAATTGAAAGAAATTAACACAACCGATCTTGAGTTAATCGATAAACAAAAAACGGGAAGAAATAAAAATAAAGAATAATAAATAAATAAATAAATAAATAAAGAAAGAAAATTCTGACGAAAACAATAGGTGGTCTGTTGACAACAGACCACCTAATGATAGTAATAATGGTACAAGTAATTATAAACAAATTATGACAATAATAATAACATTCTTTGACTCGAATCTATATACGACGTTGGACTAAAATCACATGCCCACACATCAGATGTGCGACGATAGACTCGAATAAAATATACAAAAAGTTGAAAGACTCACCAATGGAGGGCGTTGTTAGAGAAAGTATCGGCCCCTCGCCAAGTTCAGATGTCCTTGCCCCATCGCAAAGAACAGGTCTCACCGAGACCTTGTAGTCCGTATCGGGTTCCAGGCCAGTTACATTGAATGTAAGCTCTTCTCTGGGCAGGGAACCTGGTTGAGCGGACACAAAACCAACCGCCAACCACGATGGGATATCGTCGCTGAAGCTCCTTCTATCAATTGCATAGGCACATATGGGCCCATCGCCAGCATGTTGATCTTGCCACCGGAAAACTACGTATGACGTTCCAATTGCTGTCGCGTTAGGCCGATGGGACAAGCTGGGTAGAACTGACGGTAGAATTGAAATTGAAATTAAGTATTTATTCCGTATTCTTTTTTCAGTATGTGTCTATATATTTATAGATATATATATATATATATTTACCTGATGGCGTCATTATACGGACACATGTAGTGAAAAAATGAGTCATTAAGGTAGACATGGTCATTAGCAGGACATTTTCGTGTCCTGTTAACGATCGAACAAAAAATAATCAATGCCCTCTACGTACGTTTGCCGGCAGAGGAAACTTAAAAGCCTCTCAATAAACAAAAGCCTTGATCATCAATGACGTATTTATTGTCCGTTCGGAATTCGTTTTTCTATACGTGTGTGTTTGTATAATATATATATATACATGTATATCAATTCATGTGCGCTAAACAATTGCAATTTGCAATTTGCAACCTCTTGGGATGAGTTTCGATACTTGTTTGTATGCCCTGCCTTTTGTTCAGACAGAAAATTGTTCATCGATAAATATTTTATTGAAAGACCAAATGCACTGAAAATGGATCAGCTTTTCAACTCCAAAAATGTACAAACACGTTTTAACTTAGTAAAATTATGTCGAACAATAATGCTTCGTTTTCATTAATTTAAGTTTGTGCAAAAGACTTGTTATGACTTCAATATAAACGTTATGTTCTTTTTTGTTGTTCTATATCAAATTATTCAATTGATATCAAGAATATTTCCAGTAATTCATTAATTCAAATATCAATTTACTGGTGCCGGTAACTTTCTTTTTCAATTGCTTCAATTAATTTCGTCATTAATTGTCGTTGTAATTATTATTATTGTTTTGTTAATTATTATCAATATTGTTATTATTATTATCATTATAATTTTTCTCACTATTGTCGATAGTGTTATTTTGTATTGATTAACATTAATTCGATTTGTATTGTATATTTTACAGTGTTAAATTGAAAAATTCAAACTGATTGTAAACTTCTCGAATACCCCAGTGTGGGTGACATGAGAATAAATTGACATTGTCATTGTCATTGTCCTTGCTAGCTAGGTCGCTCACGCATTGCAATTTACGCGGAGCCGCAGTACCTGTATAGCGCCAGCTAAACATATTTACACCCTTCTATGTTTCATTTGGTCTATTTGTTGTAAAAATTCCCCACACATCTTTGAATGATGTACATATGACCTACAGCTAGACATATTCATGAATCAATGAAGGATGAGGTATATAAAACAAATATTTACTGCTCTGTAGTCGGATGGTGGTTGAAATTATCACTCCCTCGGTGGTGTTCATACCGGACCTTCTATCACTCCCTCGGCTTCTCCTCGGGGATGGTAGAAGGACGGTATGAACAGCACCTTGGGAGTGATAATTTCCACCATCATCCTAATGAGCAGTCAATATTTGTATATTATATATATATATATATATATATATATAATTATACGAACTTGTCTGTGTGCAAGGATATTGAACTCACCGTAATCATCTGTTGACTGATATAACTCTTTCTTTTCTCCTTCTCTCCCGGAGCAGTGCAAGACTCTAACACTTATACCGTAGAGGGTGCCAGCATCAAGTCGATCAATCGTGAATTGATAGTCGTTCGTCCCATCTTCGAAGGGTACGAAGCCGACGCTCGACCACAATGTGGATGAAGGATATTGAAGATATATATTGTGTCCGCATATGGGTCCATCGCCAACGTAATCGCCCCTCCACCCCACCGAGATGGACGATGTGGTGACACCCCATACTTCAGGCTGACTAGACAGACTTGGCAAGTCTAAATGATCTATACAAAAGAATTACATGGAAAGTATAAGTAGTAGTAATATTAGTAGAAGTAGTAGTAATAGTAGGGGTCGTCTTAGTAGTAAAAGTACTACTAGTAATAATGATGATACATGTAATGGTAATAATAATCGTAACAGTAGAAGAACTGGTAATAGTAGTTCAAGTAGTAGTAGTAGTAAACTAAGTAGTAGTAATGATAGTAGTAGTAGTAGTAGTATAAGTAAAATAAGTAGTAGAAGTAGTAGCAGTAGAAGTATTAGTAGTATTAGTAGTAGGTAGTGGTAAGTATTAGTAGTAGTAGTAGTAGTATTAGGAGTACTATTAATAGTAATAGTAGTAATATTAATAGTATTAATGGTGGTAGTAGTAGAAGTGGTAGCAAGTAAAATAAAAGGTAGTTGTAGTAGTAGAAGTAGTAGTAGGAGAAGTAATAATAGCATTACTACTAGTAGTAGTAGTAGTAGTAGTAGTAGTGCTAAGTAAAAGAAGAAGTAGTAGTAGTAGTAGTAGTGGCAGTATAGTAGTAGTAGTAGTAGTATCGACAATGGCATTATTAATGTCTTCTTTATTCGCTGCATTATAAAATACACAGAGCAAAGATCAACGCTGAAGACAAACAAATAAATATTAATAATAAGAAGAAGAACAAATGACAAACAATAATGTTGTTATAATAATATCATCAAAATGATGATAATGATATCATAGTCATAATAGCAATAATTATGTTAAAAATAGTAATGGTAATACTTTCGGGTTTAAAATTATCTTCATACAATTTAAGGTTCTAACAGGGGATTAGAAATGTCATGAATAATAATAAGCGCAATAACCATGCACTTTAAACGCATTTGCGGTCTTAAACAAGAACCCAACTATCCCTTTAATAAGGAAATTAACTGGAAAATGTTGTAACATGTTAATTTTTTATTTTTAAGTTTCAAGGTTCAAGCAATAAAGGTAGATTTTAATAACTGTTTAAACTGTGCTTTTGTGAATTCCGATGTTTCATATCTCGCATCTTAGGCTCTCGCCGCAAGGTACATGTATATACATCATTGATTGCGTGCAATCTCAAAGTAGGTCGCGCACACCCGGGGAATCCCCACTATGTCGAAATGCGTGCTTATTTCATGAATTGCAATTGCAGCGTCATGAAATCGTCGGGTCCTGCCGTGAATGTTTTTGTTTATTTCTTATTTCTTATTTGTGAACTCTGAGTTGTGTTGACCTTTGCCCATATGAAGAAAGATTATCAATTGCCATAGAAAAATCATATTTAGGATGATATATCATTGAAAATAACATTGCAAAGCGCATTAAAATATAAACGTAACACGCTATATAAATGCGAGATATTATCATGATGATAGTTGTTGTTGTTTGTGTGTCTGCATAACACGCACATAGGCCTACGGTAATCGTGACGGTTAGAACGATATGACACATTGTTGAACGATACAGAATACTTTGGTTTCTTTGAAGCAATCGAGATCGGGGTAAAAGGTCGTATTGTTAGAGAAGAAAACAAGAATAGACACAAGACTAATGTATATATTTGCAAATGTAACGTCCGGGCCCCGTCTTACAGAGCGTTGCGATTAAATCAAACGCGAGTCCTCCGATCAATCGCAAGTTTGCAGTCTCCTATCTCTAAAAAAAATAGTGGCGATTGATACCAACTATTTTTAAGACAGGACCCAGATCTAGCTTGATAATCAAGGACAAAATTATTGCGCATACTCTGAACTACGATTTGATTAGGCCTATTTGTTTCTTTTTCTTTCGAGATGAATCAAAATAATAACCATTTCGACACACCGATGTTTTAACTCATTCCCGAATAACGGTGGAATATCAAAAATAAGTGACGCTGAGAACGTACTGTACAGATTTAATCACAAATCCATGGCCTTTTTTTCCCAATCTAAACAATTACAAAACAGAATGACATGCACAAATGATTAGACGCCGATATTCGGATTCCCACACAATTTGAACTGATTGCTGAATTGAGAGCACGGGTGACAAAGAATATACCACATCTACACATTAATTATTTTCAAAACTAAATTACAAGAAAAAAAGGTTACTTCGTTAATAATAACAACAATAGCTAATTCTTATAAAGCGCTTTTCAGGACCGAAGGCCCTCTCAAAGCGCTTTACAGATATATATATATATATATTATTAACCCGGTCATCGGATTCAGGCTTAACCGCACACAATGTATGTACATTCTCCACTCCCTGGGAAGCATTACAGCTAGGCGTCATTTTTACAAGCGCACACTTGCTAATCTAAGCACATTAGCTTTCGCATCCTACCGGGTACCCATTTAACACCGGGGTGGAGAGTGGCAAATGTAGATTAATGTCTTGTCATAAGGACATTGAACCGCGGACTTGAACCGCAGACCTTGTGATCCAAAGTCTGGTGACATATCCACTCGTCCACGACACGTAAAGGCACTTTGATTTTTTAAGCGCATAGAGACATGAAATTATGCCAATGTGAATATTATGATTACAATCACTACAATGTATTGTAAAAGCAACAAGAATCGTTCATATATTGACAAAGCAAAAACATCAGATTAAGAAATCCGTGTGCTTCGCTCAACTTGGTTTTATGGATGTAGGACTAGAAATTAAGAATAATTGGTGCCAATTGCAAGAGGAAAAGTGATTTATGTAGAATTTTTAGGAAAAAAACTCTGTACTACTACTGATTAGAGAACTTTGCATACGCAGATAATAATGACAATTATAAAAATGATAATAATAACAATAATAGCTACATTACTAAGTTTCGATTCGGCTCAAACCTAGTTTCCATGGGTTACGACATGATAATGCACATCGCACATCTATAGTTTAAACACCCATTGGCCCGAATTCACAAAGGTTTGTCGACAAACCTCCTTTGTGAATTCGGGCCATTGACTGTGTGCAATCTAAATATAGGCCGCATATACGGGGAGTACTTATCAACCGAAAGTAATTCATCTAATTAGCACCAGTTATAATTAGAGGAATTACTTTCGGTTGATGAGGAAATCGTGTACATTACAAAATGTTGTATATTGATATACTGTTGTATGTTGATACTTGTCCTCGTATCTAAGTTCCTCTTATGATGGTTTTATACCTTGTTAAGTATACACGACCATTTACACACTCACAGCTAGCCCACACCCACAACCAATACACACGATACACGACGTA